TCGTAATTTAATTTTAAAATTATTAAATCTTAATTTTAAAAATTGAACTCTAAAACTTAATAGTATAAACTCTTATCCTAAAAATTTAAATCTTAGCACCTAAATTCTAAATTTTAATACACACCTTAAATTCTAAATTTTAAAAAATTTAAACCCAAACACCTCAAATACTGATAAACTTTAAAAATCTAAATCCCAACATCCTAAAAATTAAAATTAAAAATAATCTAAGGCCTAATATGCTTAAAACTAAATTTAAAATAAGGTTTGAAAACTAAATAATAGTTCAAAAAATTGAGGGACTAAAATGAGTTTAAATTGACAAATTAAGGGATCAATTCTTAGTTTAACCATAACAAAGGCAAAAGAAATTAATGGAGCTGGGGCTGCCGCGTACCATTCGGCCTCCCAATAATTATCCTAAAACCTTAGATTTGGACATTTTGGGAGCAAAATTAAAGTGCAAAAAAAAAAAATTTATTGATAAAGCGGACGGTGGATATTAGTTTTAAGTCTTATATAACCTCATAGTAAGGGTTCAAACTTATATATTAATTTTTCTTTATTTGTCTTTCTTAAAAAATTTAATTTACTGTCTCGCACATGGTGACCTATTGGCCACCCCTGCGGACGTGGGTAGGACTAATGAAACCTGGGATCAAATCCCAGGTCCCCTTTCCTTTTTCAGAAAAAAAAAAGTTTCACACTGTTTAAAAAATTAAAAAAAGATTTGATTTACTTGTATTTGGGTTTTGTGATGTAATAATTTTGTATTTTATTGTGAGATATACCCCCATCAACTTTAAGATTAAGATTTGAAACCCTTATCTCTCAAACTGTAATCCATTAAAAAAAAAAAAAAAAAAACTTGACCTACTTTGATGCATCAAAAACAAATTATCTTCCTGCTTTTTGGTTACCGGAATATCCCGGTAACCGGTAAATAAAAGTAGGTGGTCGGTTGCACGAGGTGGTAGGTGATGTGTAGCACGAGTCAACATTTGGTGCCATCACTGCCACGTAGACTTTATTGTCATATTGATCTATAACTTAACAATTAGTATTAGTCCTGGTGTTTCTATTTTTTCTTTAATTTTTTTTAACAAAAGCAATTATATACAAAGTGTTGCTTCTTAGGATCGATAACGTGACAAGAAAGGTCATACATATCACTAAGTCTAAGTGGTAGTTCGCTTGAGTTAAACTACAAAACTGTGATAATATTAAGTATCAGGAGACCACTCTTTTATTAATTAATGATTTAAAAATGTAAAATTTGTATAAAATAAACTAAATATTTTTTTAATCTTTTAATTTAATAAAATAATAATTAATATTCAAATTTTTATAATTTTAAATAATTGACTCTTTAATATAAAAAATAAAAATTTTATAATTATAATATTACTCACATGATATTATAAAATTATTTTATTAATTTTTTTAAAAATTATTTATAATATTATATATTTATTTAATATTATATTATTTTTATTTAATACCATATAAAATTATAAATTTAAAATTTACACAATATTATCATACAACAATAATAATTATTATAATCAATTTTCTTCAATAAAAAAAATAAGAAACCTACTAATGATTTAAATAATTTAGTAGTTATTTTTTTATTAAAAATAAAAAATCATAAATTTATATCATATAATATATAGATAAAATGAAATAAAAAATGAAAAAAATAACATCTCATTGTGTAATCAATCATAAAAAAATTATTATATATTTTTAAATAAATATAATTAATTTTAATAAATATAATAAAAAATAAATTATTAAAATTTTGTATAAATATAATATATAAAACTTATTTATAAGTAGATTTTAACTTTATATAATAAATGAAATGAGTGTATATATTTTAAAGAGTAATGCAACTTAAAACCTAAATATTCATATTATAAAAAGAT